CCCCCCCGGAATATCTACGAAGTAAAAAACAAAGTTGATCTTTTCAGATCTTCAAAGCTACCCTACTTAGAAAAAAGACGTCTTATGGTAGTAACGCTTTTCTTCTAAGTAGAGTAACTTTAAAGATTTGAAGATTACCTTTGTGTGTATGTGTGTATGTATGTACTTTTTACTTCAAAAATATTCCAAGTGGCAATAGTTACTAGTCATATTTTGTATATCTACGAATAAGTTATAAGTTTATCATAAACATATAATTTATTCAAAATACATTCAAAATCCCAGTAAGTATTTTTATCAAGAATATTAAATTAAAACAAAAATTCTTGTTTGCTTACTCCATAGAGTCGAACTAAATTTTCTTCGATAAAGTTTTATAATATCCTTCTAAAGAGAAAACATTCTTTTTTTGAATATATGATATAATAAATTTTTTACAAATTTGTCATGAATATCTTTTAGAATTATTATCATGAAGAAATATTCCTTGTTGAAGATAACTATCGCTCAGAAGAAAAGTAAACTGAGTATTCGCTTCTCTTAGCAGTAGAATGACATTCTTCTGCGTGAACGCTTGCAATTTCGCGATATAGAACAATAAAAACGGTATTATGTACTAAGCAATATCATGACCTACCTGTAATGATAATCGTGACGATCGGATACCGATCGTGCCGCTAAAGATCGAGAGACCGGCTGTCGCAGTACCAGTCAGCAAGTAACGACCCCACGCGATCTCCTTCTCGTCGACGTAACCTCTGACCGCTCGACGCAGTCGCGATCTGTAATTAGAGTTTTACCGAGTCCGCAATTAGACGAGGAAAAGAAGGAGAGAGAGAGAAAGTAACCCTTGAAGCAGTGGCGTAGCTAGAAAAAAGTTTCAGGGTACTTTTTATTTTTGACGAACAAAAAAAGTTCGAAAAAATTTTTCTCATACTTAGCGTAATCCAGAAAATTAATTTCGGGGGAGCTGCAGCCCCCTCAGTCCCCCTCCCCCTGGCTACGCCACTGCCCTGAAGGTACTTCAGTCGTGGGTCGCGATCGGAGAGAGTTTTACGACGATCGCGAATTAGACGCGAGATAAACGTTCTCGTTCGCTCCTGTCGATTATTTCTACCTACCGCGGCGGTAGGTAGAACATGTGTCCGCATAAAAGAGACATTCAGCCCGTTGTCGAACGTTTCGCTCGTTTCGCCCGTGTTTGATCGCCAATTATCAAGGCAACATGTTCGCCTCGCGCAACCACTAGGCCACCTGTCCCAAATTCCTCTCGAATGTCCGGGTTTTCGCTCCGTTACCTCGTTGCGAACGCGGGACCATGGCCGTCGTCGTCTATCGGCGCGACTCGAATTTGCTAGAATTCGCTAGAAACGCATACGTCTCGTGGCTGTGCAAATTTCAATTCCCTCAACCTGGCGATGCTAACGAAGAGCAAGGAGGGAATCGACGGGATCTCTTTCAAGAGACTTGTCGAGAAGGAGACAACGCACACCCCCTTTACAGACAGTCTAAGATACAAGTGGAAAAAGAAATATGTTTCCGTAGTATGTGGAGCGTGAATAACGACGCGAAATGACGAGAAGAGACCCCAAATGCATCGCACGTTCGAAGGCGCTCGCTCTCTTTCCCTCTCCTTCTCTTTGTACATCGAGCAAAGAAATAGCTAGATATTTATAACAACAATCGTTCATAGTGAAAGAATTATAGTTAGGAAAACTATTTTCGTAAAGAGCAAATATTACTATATTAATTGATGTGTTATAGATACTGCTAATGTTAACTATAACTAATGTTATATTGATAATGATCTTATGTATTTCTATTGCATTTCTATTGTAGCGAATATAATCTTATATTGCTACCGTTACTCTTTTGTTAGAAGAACAAGCAAATATAGTTGACGCCAAAATAACCATAATTTTATTGAAATTAACTACTTTTTTCTTTCAATGATCCTCGAGTTAACACATTACCGGCCGCTTAGGTAGATCTCTCCCGATCAACGGGAATCAATTTTAAGAGTCAATAAAGTCGCGCGAAAATATAGATAGCGAATAATAATTTCTTGCGAGAGGATAGTGTAATGTGGGCGATGTATCGTATACAATGAAACATTTTCTCAATCTTAAACGTACAAAGGAAAAATATTGCAGTGAAAATTCCAACAAATTGTTTTAAATCTTGGACCATATAGAAATTATGACCAAAACTATATATTTGTTTAAAAACATTATGCACGTTTGGCTTCTTACTACAAAATTAATGTAATTTCTTGAGTGTGTTTTCTTTTTTTATATCGTACATTCGATTCAAAATTTATTACAGTTGTAATAATTTATAATAATTTATCTTTTAGTTATCTTTTACTGTTTTCCAAGAGGCAAAATCTGCCGGACTAATATACAATTTTAGATGACTGAACAATGCCATACACTTAATTAATTGTTTAATTGTCGGAAGACACTATCCCCTGCTCCCGCCTCCCTAAAAAAACATTGTGAAATTAAATATAATTTTACTGTAATATTTTTCTCGTGTACATGAGATGTTAACCTTCTTTGCGCACTTTAAACCGTCTAATTAAATCAAAGGATATGTTGACTATGTGTTTTGTTTATGTATTTATCGCAAAACCAATGGAGACGAAATCGCAAAATGTTTCTTTTAGAGTATAGATATTTTTCCTTGAATTTTATTTCTTAATTAAGATACTATTGTAGTTAAAAAATAAAAAAACTTATTGAAAAGCAAGTATAATTTTAAGCGAAATTTGGTATTAATATTCTTCATCGCGCGCACGTGTAAGTGAAGAAACTTAAGTGATGTGTTATTAGTTTAATGAGGTTCCCTGCAAGTGTGTGATACACTGTGTCGTGCAATAAAAGCATTTTTCGTTTATAAAATGACTGAAATCGAGTATATAAACAGACAAGGTAAGGTTGGCCACTATTTAAAGACTGACAGATCTGTAGAGACTTCTTGCGGAGACTTCGAAACTAATCAGGATACTTATTCTATACGTGACCTTCTTAGTCTAAGCAGCAATTCTAAGCAGAATCGTAAGTCTCGTAAATTGTTCTCGTAAAATTCGTCAGAACTTATGAGTAGATTTACAAATCTATGCAATATCATATGTCGTACAATCACTTGTAAATTATCCAGATAGCTACATGGTGGCATGTTCATACTTTAATTATTACAGAAGAAATTATAAATTTGCAAAATCGTTATAGGCATAAAAATATAGAGGAATGTTGTCTCTATTATGTTTGTACAGTCAATCACAATAATTAGTTGTCTGAGACGTTGTAACTTTGAAATTCTAAACATTGTGCCAATTAGACCCGGTCTTGCGTATCTGAGAATCTTAATACAATCTTGTACGTCTTTTTAACGGTAGATCATTAATCGAGCGATCAGCCTGCTTTCTCGATACTTCATGGACAGACATAATAGGCTTTCTTTTCAGATTTCACATGCTGTTAACACCCCAAATTGCACAGTTGCACAAAAGAGTCCCACTTAAAGCATGTTACTGCGGCTGAAAAAAGAACGAACGATACTCAAGGTCTAGTGGGTAGCGCAATAACGCGCGATTAACAATGTGTTAAGAGAGCCTGTTCGAGTGCGAGAGAGCCAGACCGCGTTTTCCGGTTTCGATAATATAATGACGAGGATAAAACAACGCACGCTCTCGACCGCTTTCGAGCGCGTGTGCGCGCATGAGAGAGAAAGATAGGGAAAGAGTAACACGATATCGTCTGTGTGCGGTAATGTAGCAGCCGGTGTCGAGGAGGCACGTTTGACGCTCTATGAATGTAGGCAAGTAGGCTCCCGCCGATCAACGTTCGGCCGCACGCTCGCGCACGTGGAGCCGAAGTCAAAAGGACTAACCGGTTAGCAGCAGCCGGGCGCGGCCGCCGGCTATTCGTCGTCCAATTTGCGAGTCCGGTACATCGTTCGTGTGACAGGTCGTCGCATTAAGAATTTAGCGGTCACGCTGGAGCGTCGATCCGATCGACCCCCTCGAGCTGCAAAAACCCCTGCTCCCAAAAAAAAAAAAAAAAAAAAAGGCGAGAACAGGTCCGTTACGGCG